TACAAAAGCTATCAGTAATTTGAAACGAGGCAAAGCGGCAGGACCCGACGGAATTATTCCGGAGGTGTTTAAATATGGGGGTGACATACTAGTTTGTAGATTAACTGAGGTACTAGGCAAAGTCTGGGAATCAGAGACAGTACCATCAGACTGGGGTAAGTCACTTATTATACCGATATTCAAGAAGGGAAACAAGTCCTCGTGTGATAATCATAGGGGGATCAGCCTAACGAACATAGTCTCTAAAATCCTAGGCTCAGTAATCATGCATAGACTAAGCAGAACTCGGGAGGAACAGACAAGGGAAAATCAAGCAGGCTTTAGACCAGGTAGAGGGTGCATAGATCATATCTTCACTCTTCGACAGATTCTAGAACATAGACACACTTTTCGGCGTCCAACAATTGTCATATTTCTTGACTTGAAGGCGGCCTTCGACTCCGTGGACCGAAAAGTACTATGGCAATGTCTGACTGTGAAGGGAGTGCCAAGAAAGTACATTGCACTAATCAAGGCACTCTATTCAAACTCACGTAGTCGTGTAAGGGCTTATGGGGAATTGTCATCTGAATTAGTAACAACCAGTGGTGTCCGACAGGGATGTCCACTTTCCCCATTTCTGTTTAACTTCATCATAGATATGCTAATGGAAGTATCCTTAACTGAACGTAGTGACTTAGGAATCGACTTGTTACCAGGGAATAATCTAATGGACTTAGAATATGCAGATGACATAGTCCTGTTAGGGGAGGATGCTGACAAAATGCAGAGTCTTCTGAACACCTTGAGCAGCAATCTTCGTATGTTTGGCATGCGATTCGCCCCTGCAAAATGTAAGATGCTGCTACAGGACTGGACGACGTCAACCCCTAACTTAGTGATAGGGAGTGAAGTGATAGAACATGTTGACCACTTCACCTACTTGGGAAGTTGTATTAGCACCAACGGACTGATTGGCGATGAAATCTCAGCACGGATCCGAAAAGCTCGAGCTGCTTTCGCTGACTTACACCATCTCTGGCGTAGGCGTGACATCCGGTTATCAACCAAGGGACGTGTGTACTGCTCATCAGTTCGCTCCGTCCTTCTCTATGGCTCTGAAACATGGCCAATACGCGTTGAAGACATGAAAAGGTTGACTGCTTTCGATCATAGATGTCTGCGATCTCTGTCTCACGTTAGGTGGTTTCACAAGATAAGTAATGTTGACGTTAGGCGTAGAGTGTTGGGCAAAGAGGGAAAATCAATCGACGAGGTTATAAAGTTACATAGACTAAGATGGCTAGGTCACGTGGTGCGCATGCCTAACCACCGCCTCCCCCGACGGGCATTGTTAGCTGATATAGGTTCAGGTTGGAAAAGAGCCAGTGGTGGCCAAACAAAAACATGGCATCAATCCATGAAATCCTTGACAGTTAAACTGAGTCAGGTAGGGAGATGCAGACTCCCGGGTTGGGGCCCTCGGGACTCTAGGAATCAATGGCTGGAGACAATAGGTGACATGGCTCAAAATCGTTGTCAATGGCGCAGATGTATTCAATCTCTGTAATCTTTCATATTCCTTTCTACCATTACCCATTCTGTTTCACTCTTATATTTGTCAAACTCTATTAATTCTCTTCACTCATCTTCTTGTCTACCTCTGTGTGCTATTTGGAACGTGGCAACTCGAACTGCTGCACTTCGGTGCCAAGTTCTATGTTGAATCCAGACAGACAGACAGATGTATTTCAAAGATAGTAGGACCTTCAGGTGAACATCGGGGAAAAAACAAAGATGATGAAGATTTCTGGCCAAGAGGAACAGCAGTAACATCAGACAACAATCACCCAGAATAAATGGGAGGAATTTGAAAGAAGCAACCTCCTTTACCTACCTACCTGGGAAGCATCGTTTCAACTACAGGCGGATGGAACTGATGAGAATACCAAAGCAAGGATCGGAAAAGCAGGGCAAGTTTTCATTTCTCTCAAGTCTGTGTGGAGGTCAACAGAAATCCTCAGCATGAAAAAATAAGGTGTGAAATTCCAACTCTAATGTGATGTCAGTGCCACTATGCGGATCAGAGACTTGGCTCATCATGAAGAGCACCTCAAAGAAGCTATAGATCTTCATTAACAGTTGTCTTCGCTCAATACCACTCAAGATCAGTGACATCATTCTCCAGGCTCTCTCTCGAGTGAAACCCGAAAAGGATGCGGCGAGTTGGTTTTCAGTGAGAGAGTGACATGAAGGAGGTCATATGAAGAGGAGATGAAAGCATGTGGGCAGATGTGGGGCCATATGAAAACGATGTCGGAGAACCGAACGCAGTGGAGACGTGCAGCTGAAGCCCTATGTTCCTCTAGGAACTAAAGGAGCAGAAGATTCGATTTCATGCTTGTTTGACTAGGTTTAACAAAAAATACCATTAATATGCTACTTCTATATACATATGTATATCTATGCAGAGGTAAAATGTTACACTAGACAAACGGATATGAAATATGCGCAAAAATATATGTTATTCTATCATTTTTTTTAACATCTACATTTATTACTCCATCGCAAATAAAAATCTCTAATAACAAGAGATTAGAAATAAGATGGGAAAAAATAGAGGAATAGTCTAATATGAACTCATAATGAATATGTTAAGACTAATCTTTATTCTTTCTTTCCTTCTGTCTTGTCTTTTTCCCCTCGACTATTTCTACTAAGCTATATTGATTAAATAAATGAAATACGAAGAGTGTGGATCATTTCACACTTCTGGTTATTCGAGAGAGTTGATTACATAATGGTTGATGAATTGTATATATATATATATATATATATATATATATATATATATACATATACAAATGCTTTTTTATATTCATTATTTAGATTTTATCTATGACATTTGTATTTTGTCCTATATATACATATACAACTGGGTCTATCCAGTGTTGGGACACACACACACACACGTACTTACATATTTTTAAAAATGTAGTGTGGAGTAAACCGACTACGGATAAGATCAGTTGAACAAGATGGTTATTTTCATACTGTTTATTTGTTTCAATTTCTTCTCTTATCAAAATAATGATCATTTTTATTATTCATAAAGAATTTCGATACTTGAAAAAACGATATTAAATAGCACTACTTTATTCTGTCTTCTCCACAAGTTTTAGAAAAATGAATCATATATGCATTAACATCGCATAATCTACAAAAGTCTCAGTGTATTTTAGAACTTTTCTACACCATATGTTATGTATGCTCAAAGTGATTCATTTTTTCTTTTTTTTCCTTCACGTTCCCAGTGGAACATAAGGCTTTAAGCTGGAGGCTTAAAGTTTCTGTAGCAGTGTTTAATTTTACAGGATGAGTTTGTTAGCCTTATGCCCAACCTTTCCTCTTTACCAGTAATATTTATGGCTTAGTGAGGTAAAGGAGTGCGTCGGTGGCCGGAAATCGGACCCCGGATCATGTGCATGGTTGACGAGTTTCCTAACCGCTATGCCAGCGACGCAGAGAGTGATTCATACTACAGGATTAATATTTAAGAATGCACAGTGTTTTAGTTAGTTAAATAGGTTTATTAAAAATTTCAAGAGAATGATTGTTGAAGAAATAATACTCTAGTTCATCAAGTGCTCTAGTCAGATGTCCCTAATAATTAAAGAACTATAGTAATATTAACAAAATTAGGGTTTTTTAAGTAATGGAAGATAACAGTGAATTTAAAGGTTACACAACAAGTTAGTGTAACAGTAGTAGCTGAACCTGTTTCATTTGCACTCAGAGCTACGATTGCTCTAAGCAAACTTCAATGGCCTTTGTTGTTTGGAGTACCTAGGGGCTCTTGTCAGCTTATTTGGTACCCAATAAATGACTGAAAAATATTCTTCAATACCAGGTTTGTGGCCTATTTTTATAGACTGATGGTTATTGGCTTTAACTACACTACGGGTACGTGTTCCTGGGTGTGTAAAACTAAGTTTCTGGAGCAACTGCTAATATAACTGACTGCACAGGGTAAATTAATCGATCGATACGCATAGAGGGAGCTAGCCTTGTTAAACTGGCAGGTGACTAGTTTGCTTTTGCCTAAGCTAATTGACGAAAAAGTGTTATAGTTGGAACGATATGCACATCTCTGTCTGATAGCGATTGATCAGAGTGTGGGGATAGTAGCTGTAGGATTCTTGACAGTGGTTACCCTTAAGTCTTTAATAATTTGAATGCATAATGAGTGAGTGAATTGTCCTACAAAGTTTCTACCCTTAAAATTTTATATTCCCTAGCTTTAATTCATACCTAATTTGTTCTTGTTGAAGTGATTAAGTCATCTACTATTATCAATCACTACTGGCTGCAGTGTGCGTCGGTAGAACAGCGGTAGAATGCTCGCCAACCATGAATGTGATCCATGGTTCCATCCTTAGCCAACGCATTTCTTTACCTCTCTAAGGCAGCAGTAAGACTGGTAATAATAAAAAGTTAGACATAAGGCTAGCAACTCCATCCCGTGAAGATAAACACCATTGCTGCCGAAATTTCAAGCCTCTAGCTTGAAGCCTTATATTCACTGGTAACGTAAATGAATAAAAAATGGCCGTTGTCTCCTTTAAACTGAACGCCGCAATCAAACTTAATCTCAGAAATAGCAGACAAAATATTCCGCTAAAGAAACTAGATCATGCAAAAATAAAGCCATTAATCTTTTTTTAATTTGAGACGTCACAATATCTTAACTAGTGTTTGAAAATGTGCTAATGTAAAGTGTTTTGTAAAATTAATTGCTAACTGATCTTGGAAAAACTTGCTAGACTTACAAACAAAATGTGTTTTCAGTGGAAGTTTTGACTTTCCATCCATTTTCATTCAAAACATCTGTTTGAGATACAGAGAAACTATATAATTACAGTGTCTAAACACTGACATATTTCTTTTGCATATTAAAATGTAATATAACACTTTATACGTTGAATTCATTTCCCCTTTTATTTTGTTCTACTATACAATAGGGCGGGGATTAGGTGCATTCTTTCTGGCATTATTCTTCCGTCTATTGGCTACAATATTAGCCGTTCTACCATCAAAGTTGAATATGCGTGAACGTCTATTTGTAGGATTCGCCTGGTTACCAAAAGCTACTGTACAAGCTGCTATTGGACCAGTTGCATTGGACACAGCTAGACAGTCGAATGTTAGTGCAGAGATTATTGGATATGGTGAACAGGTATGTTTATTGAATTTTTGATATTTACGCATATGGTAATCAAGTAAATATCAAACAATTTGTAGGATTTCACTAGATCCACAGACGTTTATGTTTTCAGTTAATTTCAGTAGATTGAACGTAGTAAAATGTTATGAGCAAGTAAATTTTTGTTGTGTGAAAAATCCGTAAAGGTACACTTAGGATATGAAAACATCAGGATTAGGACTAATGATAACTTGAAGATATAATTTTACTGAATGGTAAGAATATTATGTATGGCTAATTTTGGGGCTGAATTTACACACTGTTTTGGAATTTGACAAAATATGATCGGAACAGTATCCAATTACTGATGATGCATCACTGTTTGTTATAAAACACAAACGTATCTGGCAAAGGACCATGCCTGACCGTTAACTAACCTAGCCGCGTTAATATTTAGCTGAAACTACTAAGAATTTAATCGATTAGTGGTGACTAGCAGTGAAATTCAAGGTGCATATTTGGCCTAATGTGTAACACTTCATCTGGATTCACCTGCATCCCTGGTGGGTTATGGTGTTTTCACTGAGACTAAAACTTAGCACCTGTCGTTTCAAATGCTTACGTGGCCTAGTGAATATCATCGATGTGTCTGAAACGATTGGTACTGGGTTCGCTCCTCATCGGGAACAGAGTCTTTCACTGCAAATGCAGATGAATTCGGATGATAAGTCTCGAAAAGGCGTATCACCAGTTACCATCAACCACAAAACGTCATTTCAGTCCTTTGATATTGTCGAATGAGTCCGTAATAGAAGCAACAGAACTGGAACATTTTGGTCAGTCAACGAGGAATACAAACTTCTAAGAAATCGTAAATAAACACAACTTATTATCTGTTATTATTCTGTTGGATAGATAATAGGGCCTACTGTAATTTTGGTAAACTAAGGTCACAGAGAACAATACACACAATCTGGCTATCAAGAGTGAAAGTGAAGAAATGCCACTGCTTAGGAAAATGGCCAAATATATAAGAGTCGCAGGACAATCTTTGTATTTTTAATTTACTATTTACTAAGTGATATCAAACAATTATATGATGTGGTTGTATTCCGTAACCTTTTCGACAATATTATCACCACTTTATTCACTATGAGTGTCTGTGTTTGTAAAATTGTTTCGGGGCAATTTTCGGTAATTATATATTCTTATTTTTCACTAGCAGTATATGCATGGTTGGATGTTCTATATGGCTTTGTAATGTGGGCGTGAGGAAGAAGTAAAACAGGCAAATCAAAAAACTGATGTGTATTATTACTGTCATATCCTCAACAATACCAAGTGACTTGTGCAACGGCAAGTAGTATCTATATTTGCAACTGTGTGTTGAAGTATCTCTAGCGGTTTGAAAGATTTAGTGGTGTGAGGTCGCTGGCCCCATGTTCATCCCTCCCTCTTTACCTGGCTTGGGAACGGCTATAACACTAGCAAGCTAGTTATCTATGCGAGGTTGAGCCAATCGCTCAACTAATATGTAAGAAAAAGTGGAGATGGATGGGCATACATTGAGAAGGCCATCGAATGACATCGCACGGAATGTAGGGCATGGCTGGAGTGGAATCCAAATGGGAAGTGACAAGTCGATCGTCAGTGAAAGGGTGATATGGAGGAGATCATTGAAGAAGAGATGAGAGAGTTTGGTTAATCGTGGACCCAGCTGAAGATGACGGCAGAATACAGGACAAAGTGGAGATGTGTTGTGGAAGCCGTATGTTTCACTCAGAACATAAATGAATAATAATAATAATAAATAATGTTGGCAACTGGAAGTCGGAAAACATTATCTTATTTTTTAATATTAGTATTTCGATATTTTTTGAAAGCAACAAAAATCTTTGTTTAACTAAGATTCATTATGTGATGAGTATAAAGGCGCAATTAATAAATAATTCCACACAACTGTTGCGCTTGATTAGCTGGAACAAATGAAGAACAAATATATGTACTTGTTTTATTCATATCAACTACACGCCAACCTAAATAATAGTAAAACTTAAGCTACAGAAGATCTCAACCTATTTTTATCACAGTGACATCGAGTTATACATACAAAAAAGTATACATAATTTCGAAATAGTGTTAGTATTAGAAAGGTTAACTATTTATGCTGTAGTTAGACAAGAAATGCAGACCAAAGTTCAAATTTTGCACCGAAACCAGGATTGACTAGAGACACAATACAAAATCGAACAAAAAAATGAATTTATACATAAAATGATGAATTTGAATAAGGCATTAGGAAGACACATTTCGCGAGATGATGGCATCATTTAGTAGTTTCTTTACGACCGCTTTACAACTAACATGGTTAACAATAATTAAATAAAGTATATGACAATTACTCATTTATATAAAAAGTACATACTAATGATCAATCATATTTAAAAAGGTCAAATAGTCCATGGTAGGCGAAGGCTGAAGTATATAGTTTTTGTACAGATATTTAACATGTAATTAATCAAAAGTGCTTCCAGAGTTATGTGAAATAATTGTGAAACAGTCGTTGACATTGATTTGAATGAGAGAAAAAAAGAGATGCGGTGCAGAATGTGCATTTGACCGAAGTCTTTGAGCTGTCAACTCCATAACCTGGTCACCCTTGAATGATAGGTTAATAAAGATAGCTTTCTCTGGTACAGAGGCTGTCCTTTCTAGATGTGGCCTATCCTCACTGTGACAAGTGATAAAATTTTCCGGATAACAATTAGCTAATAAAACTGAATGTATATGTCGAAGCTCATCCATCAATGTGTCACTCGTGTTTATTTTTCGGGCCCTTAAGAACACACATTTCACTAGGGGACGTTTATACTGGATAGGAACAAAACTGATAAAATGAAGATATTGTCCACTCCATATCTGTTTACGAAAAATAGATCGCTGAATCGTAGCATCATCTCTCCTAGTCGTATTAATATCCAGGAAACCGAGGTTCTTATTCGATTCTAGTTCAGAAGTCACTCGGATATTTGGAAAAATATGATTAAATAGGGTAATAAAGTTTTCAATAGACTTACTATTACTACCAATAATGAGAGTATCATCTGTATAACGTTTATACAGCATAAATTCTCCAAGCGTACCTTGCATTTGTTCCTCCAATTTTGACATGAAAATATAATAATAATAATCACTTCATTCCACAACAATAACAATTTACAGCATGGAATTTTCAGCGTTTCTTTTACATATTGCAATGGTTTAGCTCTGTTTATAATTATATAAATGTATTAAATATTGATAGTTAATAGGAAAAAATTAAAAAAAATTAAAAAAAAACCAACAAAATCACACTATTTCTAGGTCATAGTGAATAATAAATAAATAATATAACAAATATAAACAAATATAAAAAAATAAAAAATATCTGCTAACAGGGGCCCAAGAGGGCTACCCATCGCAACACCACCGATTTGTTTTTAGGCCTTTTCTTGGAAGGCGAATCTAATATTATCTGCACACATTAAGATGATGTCTTGATGTAAGTTAGAGGAATAGGTAAGTTTATCTCATATGATAGAAATGATATAAAGTTCTATATTGAAAGAAAAAGTTATGACACAGAAAAACAATTAAATAAATTTTGAGGATTAAAATTAACTTCAAATTAGTGGAAATCAGCAGAATCAAGAACAAAAACAAATGAAAAACGCACTTACAGTTACCAAGGTAGTAAGAGGTTAATTATTATCTTACTGGGTACAGACGTCAGCTTGAAATCTTTTCACAACAGTGGTTCATGCAAAACGGAGTAGCCAAAGTTTGCTTTGTATACTGGTAGATATTGGTGATTTCTCTTCTTAGTCTGAATATTCAATAATTAGTTAGCCTTTTCAACAGTAGACGATTTAAGAAGACAGTATTCAGCGAAGAGACTATTTTCAACAACGAATTTACTGTCAACCTGTGCAATCGTATATATATATATATAGTTTTTAAAAAATTATATCCGGTAAGGGAATTCGATCAAAGGTGTGAATACATGAAATAATAATAACAGTATGAAATGCAATTAAAATATTTGTGATTATATTCATTGTTAAATGTCAAGTAGCAAAATAACTAATGTCATATATAGAATTATTCATAGGGTGTATAGATGATAGAAAGGGGTGCATAATTTTAGGATTAGAACACCTGATCGACTCCTGTCACTCTAACAACGCTGACTATGATTTTATGATCGTCCTCTGTCGAATTCATGCTAACTTACTGGCTGAGTTTTCTTCGTTTTTAACTTCTAAAGACAGCGGAGGCCTTGACCACTCATGAATTCAAGCCAGACGTTTGTAAATAAAACAAGTATGTACAATCCCTACTTCTGCCTTGGCCGTAGACGGATAGACGTCTATTTATTTATTTTGGTTTATTCAGTGAATCTATGTACCTTCTCCTCATTAATACGATTATTATTATTATTCTCAGTTTGAATAGTTTCCGTTTGTCCCACTTGTCATTCTAAATCCAAAAATGTCCTATCTTATCAAATTTCACACCATTCTATGTAATGTTTTATATTGCCTTAGTAATCCTATAAGTATGCACCCTTTTCTAACATCTATACATCATATGATTTATTCTATATATGACATTAATTATTTTGCTACTTGACATTTAACAATGATTATAATCACAAATATTTTAATTGCATTTCAAACTGTTACTATTATTTCATGTATTCACACCTTTGATCGAATTCCCTTACGGGATATAATTTTTTAAAAACTATATATACATATATATATGATTGTAGAGTTTGATAGTAAATTCATTGTTGAAAAAAGCCTCTTCGCTGAATATTGTACTCTCAATGTTACAATGAGAATTATTAAACAAGATAATTTGTCTGCTTGTATCATTTCGGGATGATGTCGTTTATACATCCTTCTATGAATAACTCAACATCACTGTGGTAAGAGTATGTTCAGGCAATTTGTAACTCACATTTTGATACTGTTTAGGTTTTTATGGAGTTGACAAGAATCTATAAAGTAGAATAAGCGCATGTGCATCGGTAGTATAGCGGTTAGACCATTCACATGGTCCGGAGTTCGATAGCCGGCCACAGACGCACTCCTTCACCTCGCTAAGCCAGAAATAATGCTGGTAGAGAGGAAAGGTTGGAATGAGGCTAGAACCCTCATCCTGTGAAAATAAACACTGCTACAGAAACTTCAAGCCACTAGCTTGAGGCCCTATGTTCCACAGGGAACGTGAAGGGAAAAAAACCCAAGTTGTATTATCGTTTAAATTAATTAATTAATCTTCTGATGAAATATTATATAATACCCTATGCTATTTTTCTTCTTCTCTAGGTTGTAACACTGGCTGCACTTTCAATTTTAATTACAGCACCATTAGGTGCAGTATTAATGCCACTTACTGCACCTTACTTATTACATCAAGATATTCAATCGTCTCAAGTATTGATTGAACGTACACAGCCTAAAAGTGCTCCAAAAAAGATTATTGATAAATTAAAAAATAATGAAAATGATAATGATAATCAAAACACTCAGACATCAGAATCTCATCCACCTGTATTACTTGCAAATAAGTCCAGATCTAATCAACAAAACACTATAAGTAATACTCATTTATAAATTTTATTCCGATGCATAACTTTAAATTTGTGTACTGTTACCTCTTTGTTTTTTTTTTCTTTCGTCTCTTTTTCTGTTTTTGGAAAGTTGTGTGTTAACGAAATTTCTGAAAAAAAATAAAAACTAATAATTATCCAGTTAAATATGATGCTACTTCAGTGTTTAGTCTGTTTCTGTACTATGGCTATGATATGGCTGATATTTTCAAAAATCAAATGTAAATCCCTGATTCTGACAGCTAATCACATCAACAACAACAAAAACAGTCATAATGACGAAGAATGCATCTTATTGTATTTCTTCTTCTTTTATTTTTTAAGAGGAAACGAATATTTGGTTCTCACAGTCTTCATTTGTTTTTTTTTGGTTTTTTGTAGTTCAGCGCATCTATCCTTCACCGTAGTTTCAAATAAAATTATTTACAAATGTGTTTATTACTTCATGTGTTTCCCATGATCATAAAAGTGTGTGCAGAATCAGAAGAAAATCATAGCGTCACACATAGTATCTTTGACTTGAAACATCATTTTAGTGTTCCACATTAGCTGTTTAAAAGAAACTGATCAGAAGATTTTTGTGTTCCTCTCTTTTGGTAATTTACTTGTTTTTAAGTGTATTTCCTTTAAAATATACTTGTTGAAATCTCAATTTAGCTACCGTCAAGTAGTGGACTGCCTTTATAAAGTTGAATATTGAATTTGATTGGTATTCATTTCTAAATTGATTGTTAGGCTTTTTTGCCTTGAAGAGGAGGTGTATTTTATCAAACAGCAGTGTATTTCCGTCCATTTGTTTTCCAAAATTACCAAATTTTGATCCGATAAAAGAATTGTATTTTAGTTCACATTTTTAAAAAATGGAAGTTTTCTTTAGCCCCAATTATTATTTCACAACATACTTCTTTGTTTCATTGTTAATTTAGTTAAGAAAAATTCATGTTGATATTTAGCAAGATTTGAGAAGATTTTCCCTAAAGTTCAAGACTAAAAAACTACATTTTCCTTAATATGTATCTTTTGTTTTGTTATTTTATCATACTGAGTTCTTTGTTAACAGACTGTTATCTTTAAAGATGTTGAAAAAACATTTGTACGCTTACAAGAGAGTCACATATGAGATAGTTCCAGAGTAAATTAGTTGACCTGTTCACTATTTTGTATTGTATGTGGAGTTTCCTTCCTTTCTTCCTTCCTTCCATCGAAAATTAACACTAACGTCAGTTAATCACTCCTCTCCGTTCAGAACCAGTCTGAATGTATATTCACATCGATGGGTGTATTATATATATATATATATACGCTGAAGAGGAAGTATATCAAGATGCACTGTCAACAGACTAAACATTGTCGGAGGCCCTCATTTTCTCTCGATCCACAAACACAAATAATAGCACAAAAATATACGGAACTAGTTTGTTGTAAATTTCATTTCAAAATGTAGTTCAATTTTAGTATGAATGGTTGTCATTTTTAATGTTATTATTGTTATGATTATTATTATCAGTTAAATAACGTAGTTATAGAATAAACAATGTTTTATTATTTTCATTACAAAATAATAATAATATTATTATTAATAAATGATTACTTGATTAAGCTAAATAGTTTTTCTATCTTACACAAACAATTGGAGTTGTTTTTCTTGTAAGCATAAAACAAAAACGTGAAAGAAAATTTGATTTATTCTTAACAGCATGTTTGATCGTGAAATTACTTCAGTTGATGATTCACTGGAATACCAGAGAGTGCTGAACAGCTATTTTGTCGTAGTTCGAGACTTGCCAGGAGATTCAGGTTACAGGACGACCTCAGTGACCATTCAACTACTGAGATGGAGTCCACAAGGCCGATGAATTCTAAATTCTGTCATTTCGCAATATATAGCATGATGATCAACCTTGTGTTATCAGTGAGTATCTGTTCTCAAAGGCAACTTCCTCCGGCAATCAGCCACCAGTGAGCACTAGACTGGCTTTCAAGAGTTGGTTTGCAGGGATTTGGCCTATATCATGATTGATCATGAACTTATTTCATTTAGAGGATCATTAAAGACCAGTGAGGACTAGACATCAGTTCTGTCTTTGTTTGGAACTCTTTACACTGGGCCAATCGATCGATGAAGAGAAAGAGGAGTAAACCATTGAAATCAGTAGACTCTGCCTGTCTACGATATACCTTCAGGATAGTAGGCCTTAAGCATAGTGAGTATTAGTAGTTTAAAGTAAAGAATACCAGAAGGCTTGGCTAACAGTGATGATAATGATAATAGTCTCAGGTGTATTCTGCACAAAATGTTTACACACTATATAGATTTCTCAGTGTGTTTTACTAAGTAAACTTTTCCCTTTCAGATAAGAAATAATAGACGGTATACCTCAGGATATACTACTTCTATATCTGAAGCAGAATTCAATCCCTTCTGATATTTTTCCTCCTTTGTCTCTTTCGATAAATTCAGAGTAATCAGTTAAAGCCATTTAAAAATGTGCATCATTATATTTCGCCATTCAACAAGTTACATCGTTAAATGATTGAAAAAATAAGAAGTGAAAATTTGATGCATCGCAGTAGAATAAAATCCAAGTACTTCATTGCCTATAAAGCAAAGTAACAACAACAGCCTAAACCCACTAAAACTTACACATTAGGTGTGTAGAACCAAGATGTCCACCTAGTGACTATATTAACAAATTATAAAGAAAAACATGTATACTTTGGAAGCTATTCATCTTGAACTATGTTTGTTTTCCTTGAGCAATTAACTCAGAAACTGCTGAAGCATAAATATTTATTAAAAAGTGAAATTGTCCAGAATTTAGCACTGTTGTTCAGTCAACCACATATTTACTCCTTTAAATAAATTAGAAAATAAAAATGAATCATTGAGTGTTCATTCACTATGCAAAGGATATCGATGGAATGAATGCTTGAAGAAAATTGTCCGGCATAGCATACAAACTGTCACTTTGAAAAGAGGGTTGTACAGTGTTGCTTCCTAATTATTGGCACAACTAATCGTCATTTTTTTGCCTTTCAGTATTCTGTAGTGCATCTCCATTCTACTTAGTTCTCTTTCATTCCTTTCAATTGGCTCCGATATTGTTCACAAGCTTTTATCACCTCACAACAGGGTTTCCCCCATGTCACTCTTTGACATGTTTATTCTTATCTCATCCTCCCCCAACTGAAGTGCAATATCAGTCAGCTGTTGTATCAGCTTATGTTTAGTCTGTCTCTATCTGCTTCTTTATATTCGTTAAACTATTGATTATTGGCCAGTTTACTTATAAATCTTCTGGTTTGTACAAAATGACATAAAAATCATTTGCGAAGTGAACATTCCATAGTATTTTTTAGGCCCAATGTCAGTCGGTCTTCTCGCTTCCTGTGCTCTCCCACATGATCCAGTCCACCACTGTCAGAATTATCATTGATAACTGTATGCAGCCACTGCATTGTCTTTACACGCTTCAGTGAGTTTTTTTATTGCAAATAACTTGAAATGAAGCATCGAAATGTAGCTATTGAATCAGGTATATTAATGTTTAGGGTGGTTCAGTGAGTGCTGTCTAAGCTTCTGCCACGTTTACGTTTAACATTTAGTGCTGTCGATATTTTCAAAGAAGTTGAAGTTGAGGTAAAGTGTCAGCTGCCATTCTATAGGTCTGTTACATGACGATGCGTACTGTTGCAACTTTTTTCCTGAATCAAGCCTGTTGCGGAGCTCCTTTTATTCCCACCAGGATGATAAAGCTTAATGTTTTGCTTAGGATAGACAAGCGTTAGACGCTACATCACTTCTTGCATAGACTTCGTATACTGCCGAACATTTGGTCGACTTAATAGTGTCACTGGTAATAAATGAGATGTAGTATCTCATGTATGGGTCCCATTCAACCAGTATTAACTTTCGAAAAACAGGAGAACCTAAGAGGTGTGTAACAGCTACACTTAAAACAGAATTTGATAATTTGATGCGAAAAAAAGTGAAATGCACTTTCCTAGTCCCTTTTTACGATGCCTGTTAACAGTGATTATACAACTTAGCTAAGTGAAGAATGTCTAAACAACTTGTCTAAATACTTTTGAATACACAGTAGTTGTTTATTCTAAAGCAAATTAATCTTTTGAAGATGATAGAATAAATAAATAGAAACTAACTAGTAGATAAATCCAGTCAATGCAAAATTATTGTTTGAGTCGTCAGGTCAGAACTACGGTAAGTTTTTATTCATGATAGTATTTATAAACAGCTTAAACAAGGTTACATGACCTTTCAAAGATTCACAAGTCTGGAAACCCTCTAAGACTACGTCGAATTCTCCATATCATGGAATCATCAAATGGATTACAGATGCTTTTACGCCCATAAGAGATTCCTTATAAAATCATTCCTTTACAAATTCACTAGATCTTATCAACCTACGAGATACTATGAACATCAAAAAAAGGTTGTGTGCTAAATCGATACAAAATTTTTGTCTACTAATATTCCGCTTCTCAAGACGGTTGATTTCGATTACGATTACATCACATGAAATGGAATACAGTTGCGTGTACCTGTCACTTACATCAGAGATATTATCTGGATATGTACAGTAAAAAAATCAGACCTCATTTTCAAGAGAGAGAGAGTATAACAAACGGATGATGTCGCCATGGGGGGTCTTATTTGGCGCCTGTTAGCGATTGATATCTAAATATGTTAGGAAACAATACGATGTGTGGACGTCATATGAGGTATGCTAATTACTGGTAAAAACAGTGAGTCGAATGAAAATTTCAATGCTCTATTAAGTATATTCATCCTAACATTCGAGGGACCTAAGAATGCGTAATGCTTTGAAAACTGAGTTTATTTGATATTACACTGACTGGACGGGACGACGGAAAAATTATTAATTATCATTCCCTTGCGTTCCAAGTGGAAAATAGGGCTTCAGCAACACACCTCCACCTTGTTTTATCTTCTGCTGTCCTCTTCAGCTGGGTCCACGGTTG